AATGATCCAGCATTACTAGCTAGATGTCCAAGGCATATACATGTACAACCTGTGTTTAGCTTGATAGTAATGGACATTCACCTCCTGGTCAATTGACAGCTCTCAAAAAGGGTATCCAGTGACCAGTGTCATATGTTTTTATTACGGGCACAGGTGTACATTTCATTGAAGTGACTTATTTTTTAAAGTTATTGGCTTTAAATGATTGCAGACTCAGTTCATGATTTTCCCATTGTCAAAGAAACTGTCTTGTGGTTTTGATCCCATAGCCAGGTTCACTTCAGTTCAGTTTCAAACACGACCTCAAATGACCTCTTGTGCATGGATGTTGAGAAAAACTTCCAGTGTTTTTTATCGTATTCATTTTAAGAATAGTGCTAAAAAGGCCATATAATAATTAACTTATCAAACCTTGTCCATTTGGTTAATAAACTTGTGGTATATAATCATGCAACTCTTACCTATTCCTGTTTTCTCTCTTTTGAACTTTTGAACTGCTACCTTCCTTTTCGAAGAGGCCATGAATTGCTTTATTATATCTTCAGTTAGGAAAATAGTATTGTTTGGTCAAAAACAAACATGACTATTATTGTCACACAAGTCAATCTTAAGATTATGATGTCAGTTCAATACAATGCATTTATATTCTTCTAAATAATAAAAAAGTTAGGGCTTGAAAAATTGGCTTTAGTCTTTCTAGCCATGGGCTATACATACAGATGATGTTTTTAATTCATAAGCACAGAAGCTGGGAGTTCTAGCCCAGATAACACAGCACCACCATTGACCATTGTTCATGTGAAGAAAAAGTTACATTGTAGGAGGCTCGTAACAAGAAAAGAACTATTCTGTAATTCATCATTAAGTACGATTGACTTTACACATATCCAAGCTAAACAACTCAACTCCTAGTGACTTCTGATCATGCTACCAGACTCTTAATCCATTATTTACCTTGGCTATTTTGCCTGTGAGCAAGCAAAAATATCTATCGTACATGTACATGTACAGCAAAAATGAATGCATGTGAGGAAACTATTGTAGGAGGAACGTGAGAACAAAAGGACAACGGGCATAACTATAGAGATCTATTCAAAACAACCCTTTATTTTTGCTGTACATCTCTGCCATCTTTGAACTTTTTACATAAACGAGGTTTAATTAAAGCAAAATAGCATGTGTACCTTTTAGAGCCAACTTTGTGTTTTAGGGCCTCTAGGTCACAGAAAGGAATCTCTGATAATTCTATGAAAAGCAGAACAAAAATACATGTGAGAGCTAAGGAATCCCAGACAACAGCCAAATATCATTGTTAAACGATAGTTAATAGAATTTAAATAACCTACCCTACATGTTGGTTGATTTAAAAATAATAACTAGGTTCTTAAAAGTTGACCTAGGCTGAAAAAACCTGATACATACATACTGAGGTATACTAACAGAAAGGCCATGTTATAAATTGTGTGGAGAAAGAAGCTCTAACCAGTTCACCTGAGAAAAAATTGCTTGTCCAATTAGAACAGTGTTTTTCACGACGATTCTCCAGTTTCCTATCAATTTCTCAATTTAAAGAGTTTTCGGCAAGCATTCTTGCTTTGGTCATTCAAGAATGGATGTAAGTAAACTGACCCAGGGCATCAGTGAAAGTTGATGGGAAAAAAAAGCAGTTACTGCTAATTAGACAGATGAAATGGCAACAAACAACTAACGATGGGTTGAAACTGTGGCAGCAACAAGGAGAATCTTAATTATGATAAATAAACTCCAACAGCAACATGGTCTCCCCCTCAATAAGTAAAACAATCGGTTTTGAAATTCAGACAAGGGACTTCCCCTCCCCCCCGCACCCCCACCACCCCACCTGAGATGACCTCAAGGATATGCCATTATCACAAAAAGAATAATTAGCACAATGATCATTTGCAGCTGAAAACTCTCTTTTTTCATACAAATTGTGTGAAAAAAATTGCAGTTTTGAAATCCAACATGGCCGCCTAGTCAAGTGGTTGCAAACCAAGAATTTGAAAACGCTCCGGGAAGCTTATTCTATTTTCAGGGCATTTTTTACTTTTCTGATGTAAATAATAGAAACTTAATCGTTGACATCAATTCAGCTTTAAAACACACTGACACCAAGAATGCTATAGAGACTGTTGTATGATTAATTATAATAAAAGTTGATCGAGCAATTAGAGTTGATCGTTTTTTTTTTCTTTCTAGAATATCATCAAGCACATTTTCCTGGCCTATTTTGCCTAAAATTGAAACGCGGAAAAATTTCCATTTTGGGTGACCATATTGGACCCACGGTTTTGGGTTAAAATTATAAAGTTTCGTTTGAACATTTTGTTGTCTAAATAAAAAAAGAAAAAGTGTTTGATGATGTTAAAAAGGGCTAGAAAAGCCAAAATGACCCTTAAGAGCAATTTCTATTTTGGGTGACCATATTGGATTTTTCCAAAGGGGTTAACCCACGACTTTGCATCAAAAATTGTCAAAATTTCAAATTTTTCTTTCGATTCTTTTTTGCCTAAATACAGGTAAAAAAGCCTTTCGATTAAAGACTCTTAAGAACACGTTTGATTTTGTAATCCCTTAAGGCTCTAAGACAATTCGAAATTTCCATTCCTAACGACATGACATTGTCTCCTAGCCCCAATTATTCATGAATTAGGGCCAGGAGACAAAGGATATTGAAAATTAAATTAGCCTGAATTTAATTTTGACATGTAACATAGGTCTACATCAAATTGCCATTTTAGAAACAAGAAAGCAACTGGAGTGAGTTAACTTTCACAAAAACTTTTGGGACTGCTTTTAGGGATAGAGAAAAAATTGACTCCTAGCTAACGAACTGGTGCGTCCCCAGTAACTATACCACAAACAATTGCAGGACGCATTATGGCTCCAGGTCCTTCTTTGTTTCTAAAGTGGCAAAATGGCAACAATTTCGAAGTCAGGAAGAGACAAGTATGGAAAACCAACTAGACAGTACTCACGCTCTTTTCCAACCAAACCAATAAAATCAGATTGCATTTCACAATCACAAATACAGCAAACAGGGTTATGAAGGCTTACAATTTGTACAAGTATATGTACACCACTTTCAACGATAGGCATTTAACCCATTGTGTTGTAATGAGTTTAGAGCACTCATGGCATCTTCCCATATTTTTTTAGGTTCTTCTGTGTGACAACCATGGCAAACATTGTAACAACTTGAAGATCTAGATGGAACTGTTCACTGCTCAATAAGTGGGTTGAGTCCTGACTGACAACATTGAATAAACTTGATGCCTCAGACCTAACATCTGACACTGTCAGCTGATGCTTTTGCATGCAGCGTACCCATTGATGTTTCATTCAATTACACTTTTGTTTGAAAGCTTAAAATACCGCTCAAAGTGTTTTTAGGTTTCCACGACCCTCCTTTGGGGCATTTTCTTCCTCTCTTTGCTTGCAACTTTCTTTCCTTTCTTTTTAAGGTACTGATCCAGCTTTCCTGAAGACTTTAACTTCTTAAACTTCTCTGCAAGTTCCAACTTCCTTTTGTCAGCTGTTGGAAAAGACAAAAGAACAGTTAATGACTTCAAAGTTGTCAACTATAATCGTACAGTGTACTTGCAGTTTTCTTGATCAGAAAGAATGAAGTTGAAAAAGAATCACCAAGAAAATCACCAAAGACCACCAAGAATGGAGTTAAAAAAAAAAAAGAATACCCTTCATGGTTGTATGCTACCACTAAAAAAAACATTATTTGAAACCTTTTCTAACATCAATCTCCTTTGAATCTAATTATAAGTATTAAAGAAAGGGGATTTACTGTAAACAATGGAAATGAGTGCTTAAGTTTTAAAGATTTTATAGATGCTTAACGACACAATTGGTTCACTGGTTATGAAGAAACAATGAGTGTTTTGGTGACACATTGCCTTCACACCTACTGCTATAAGAACCACTGGTACTGGACTATTAAACTTGGCACAAAATCGAACTCACACTTCTTCAAGTAAAACGGTCTTTTCCCCTGTTTCACTAATTCTAGCTCGGACTTTTTCCTCTGTTTCTCAGTTTGTCTTTTGGCCTCTTGAGTCTTTTTGGCTGCCTCTTGTTGTTCCTGAAAATATAGTTACAATGTTCAGAGACCAAACAACAACAAGTGAAAACAAAATAATATAGCAGGGGAACAAGCATCTATTGCAAAAATGGTGACATTTCTGCAAGAAAAAAAAAATTTTGGTTCATCACTATCGACCAGTTTCTCTCTGATACAGTAAAAACCCATGACTAAGAACATGGTTTTTAAAACCCTGTTAGGCTAAAATTTGCCAGTTAGGCCCCCTCCATACAAGAACCTGCTGTAAGCCTAAAATTTGAAACAGGTTCTTATTTTCTAAAATAGATAAAACAAAACTTTGTACAGTTAGGTAAATAAGATAACTCAACATTCATAATCCCCTTTGGAGACATAGGTGTCTTATCTCTCCAACTGCCATGTAATGCAGGGTTGTCAAAAAGATTTTAGGTAGCAGGAGAATAACATAAAGCAGCCGGCATGTGTTTTCCGGCGGGGGCGGTAGGGAAAGACATATCGCTTTTGATATGTGTTTCCCAGGTGGGGGAACACATATCACTAGGGATACATGTTTTCCAGGTGGGGGAACACATATCACTAGGGATACGTGTTTCCCAGATGGGGGAACACATATCACTAAGGATACGTGTTTTCCAGGTGGGGGACAAATATCACTTGGGATATGTGTTTCCCAGGTGGGAGAACACATATCACTATTGATATGTGTTTTCAATGTGGGGGAACAAATATCACTAGGGATATGTGTTTCCAAAGTGGGGGAACAAATTTAACTAGCGATATGTGTTTCCTAGGTGAGGAAACACATATCACTAGGGATATGTGTTTCCCAGGTAGGGGAACACATATCACTAGGGATATGTGTTTCCCAGGTGAGGAAACACATATCACTAGGGATATATGTTTCCAAGGTGGGGGAACACATTTCACTAGGGATATGTGTTTCCCAGGTAGGGGAACACATATCACTAGGGATATGTCTTTCCCAGGTGGGGGAACACATATCACTAGGGATATGTGTTTCCCAGGTGGGGAAACACATATCACTATTGATAAGTGTCTCCCAGGTGGAGGAACACATATCACTAGGGATATGTGTTTCCCAGGTGGAGGAACACATATCACTAGGCATACGTGTTTTCCAAGTGGGAGAACACATATCACTAGAGATACGTGTTTTCCAAGTGGGAGAACACATATCACTAGGGATACGTGTTTTCCAAGTGGGGGAACACATATCACTAGGGATATGTGTTTCCCAGGTAGGGGAACACATATCACTAGGGATATGTGTTTCCCAGGTAGGGGAACACATATCACTAGGGATATGTGTTTCCCAGGTAGGGGAACACATATCACTAGGGATATGTGTTTCCCAGGTAGGGGAACACATATCACTAGGGATATGTGTTTCCCAGGTAGGGGAACACATATCACTAGGGATATGTGTTTCCCAGGTAGGGGAACACATATCACTAGGGATATGTGTTTCCCAGGTAGGGGAACACATATCACTAGGGATATGTGTTTCCCAGGTAGGGGAACACATATCACTAGGGATATGTGTTTCCCAGGTAGGGGAACACATATCACTAGGGATATGTGTTTCCCAGGTAGGGGAACACATATCACTAGGGATATGTGTTTCCCAGGTAGGGGAACACATATCACTAGGGATATGTGTTTCCCAGGTAGGGGAACACATATCACTAGGGATATGTGTTTCCCGGGTGGGGGAACACATATCACTAGGGATATGTGTTTCCCGGGTGGGGGAACACATATCACTAGGGATATGTGTTTCCCAGGTGGCGGAACACATATCACTAGGGATATGTGTTTCCCGGGTGGGGGAACACATATCACTAGGGATATGTGTTTCCCAGGTGGCGGAACACATATCACTAGGGATATGTGTTTCCCGGGTGGGGGAACACATATCACTAGGGATACGGTTTTCAGGGTAGGGGAACACTTATCACTAGGGATATGTGTTTTCCTTGGTAGGGAAGGTGCCTCACAAAAAAGAAGGTGGAGATCATGATTAATGTTCTTTTTCTTTTCCTATTTTACAAGTTTTTTAATCATTCATTTTTTTTCGCTTCTGTTTAATAATTTACAGCAGGCAAAAACCTTAAAGTAGGTGGTGATAGCGCCGGTTGCTGGCACATTTTGACAACCCTGATCTAATGTATGCAGATTTTGTACCAGGAATTAGCTGAATATCCACAAAATACTCTTGACTTTAATGTATTTTTTTTTTAGAAAATAAGAACCTATTTTTAAATAACCTACATAGCCTAAGACTGTGCTTATTACCATTAATTTTTACATGTATGTAACTGAACTGGCGTGGTTTAGGCTAACTTGGGAAAATGTAGTTTCTTAGTCACGTGTTTTACTGTGGTGATCTACTATCCTTTGGCTTAAATATTAACACCAAATACAGGACATGACATCTGACTTCCTAAATCTGTGGACTGGAATTACTGAGCCTTCCTTTACACAGAACATTAATACATGTATAATTACTTGGAACATTCAGAACTTACCATTCTCTTTAGCAGAGATTCCAGCTGCTGTTTTCTCTCTGGTTGTTTGGTTTTCTGTAACTCTTTTTGCAGTTGCTGGTAGAAATATTGAAATAGATCATTCATCATGTAAAAAATACATGGATTTCTGAGAGGAGATCAATCAATGCATTGGAGTCAATGCCACGCAATCACTAAGAATATAATGACACTTTATGAAACGTCATCAACATCGGGTGATTGAGATAAGTAACATTTTTTTGCTTACAGTGAAATGTTTAAAATACATAACAACAGTAAGCTTCAACTTGGCATGCACAGTATGTTTCATGAAGATTCATTCCTTATTTACACTTCACACAAAAATCAATTAACAAAAACATTGCTAATTATTTGGGGTAGAAGTTAATTTTTCTTTATGATTGATGTTGAGATGAGAGCCAATTCACCTTACAATGTATATTAAGCAAGGACTGCACTCAGCTTGACAATCACATTCAGGATAGTCAATTTAGTTTAGCAATGCCCTGTTAATGAGAAACAGGTTCCAATACACTCACCTTCTTTTCATTTGCTTTTATGTCAGTTAGAAATGAATATGCCTTATCAAACTTTTCCTGGTTAAAATGCCCTGACAGCTCATCAAACCTAGGATCCCTGTTCACCTATAAATAAAAGCTCATGTATCAAACAGTAAATCTTTTTAGAGTTATTCCATGTGCAACCAGCTCTGGTTAAATAGTGTCTGTCTTCTCAACAGTGTGCAAGTTGTTGATTTCTTTAACACCATTACCTTTACAATTCATTTAAAAGAACGTTACAAAAAAATTTCAACTCACTCGTTTTTTAACTGGGATCACTTGTCTTAAGCGAGGTACTTGCTTCTTTGATGACATTTCTCTGGGCCTAGAAAGCAGGACATAAACAATGTTTACAAAAGTTTAACTAAAACTAACTACCTGTATGATATTATCTTTAAGATATTATTACTAACCTTGTTTTTGTACATAACAGGAATAAGTACTTTGATTAATTTACTATTCTTATACTTTTGTCAATAGTCATTGTCTGGAGTCCTCACTGTGAATAATATTGCAAATGTGATTTAACATTTCTAAGGACCAGTCAAATCTGCTGATTGAAATTATTGTCATTGTGTGAATGAATACATGTGGTCTCTGTATCTATAACTGTCAACCCTTCATCACATACTACAAATCTTTATCATACAGTTACAATAGTACGTGCACTCTGATTGGCTGTTAAGCGGACATTATTTTCTTGTAATGATCCAGCATTACTAGCTAGATGTCCAAGGCATATACATGTACAACCGGTGTTTAGCTTGATAGTAATGGACATTCACCTCCTGGTCAATTGACAGCTCTCAAAAAGGGTATCCAGTGACCAGTGTCATATGTTTTTATTACGGGCACAGGTGTACATTTCATTGAAGTGACTTATTTTTTAAAGTTATTGGCTTTAAATGATTGCAGACTCAGTTCATGATTTTCCCATCGTCAAAGAAACTGTCTTGTGGTTTTGATCCCATAGCCAGGTTCACTTCAGTTCAGTTTCAAACACGACCTCAAATGACCTCTTGTGCATGGATGTTGAGAAAAACTTCCAGTGTTTTTTATCGTATTCATTTTAAGAATAGTGCTAAAAAGGCCATATAATAATTAACTTATCAAACCTTGTCCATTTGGTTAATAAACTTGTGGTATATAATCATGCAACTCTTACCTATTCCTGTTTTCTCTCTTTTGAACTTTTGAACTGCTACCTTCCTTTTCGAAGAGGCCATGAATTGCTTTATTATATCTTCAGTTANAATGATCCAGCATTACTAGCTAGATGTCCAAGGCATATACATGTACAACCTGTGTTTAGCTTGATAGTAATGGACATTCACCTCCTGGTCAATTGACAGCTCTCAAAAAGGGTATCCAGTGACCAGTGTCATATGTTTTTATTACGGGCACAGGTGTACATTTCATTGAAGTGACTTATTTTTTAAAGTTATTGGCTTTAAATGATTGCAGACTCAGTTCATGATTTTCCCATCGTCAAAGAAACTGTCTTGTGGTTTTGATCCCATAGCCAGGTTCACTTCAGTTCAGTTTCAAACACGACCTCAAATGACCTCTTGTGCATGGATGTTGAGAAAAACTTCCAGTGTTTTTTATCGTATTCATTTTAAGAATAGTGCTAAAAAGGCCATATAATAATTAACTTATCAAACCTTGTCCATTTGGTTAATAAACTTGTGGTATATAATCATGCAACTCTTACCTATTCCTGTTTTCTCTCTTTGGAACTTTTGAACTGCTACCTTCCTTTTCGAAGAGGCCATGGATTGCTTTATTATATCTTCAGTTAGAAAAATAGCATTGTTTGGTCAAAAACAAACATGACTGTTATTGTCACACAAGTCAATCTTAAGATTATGATATCAGTTCAATACAATGCATTTATATTCTAAATAATATAAAAATTAGGGCTTGAAAAATTGGCTTTAGTCTTTCTAACCACGGGCTATACATAAAGATGATGTTTTTAATTCATAAGCACAGAAGCTGGGAGTTCTAGCCCAGATAAAACATGTAACTGATCTTCCGCACCACCACTGACCATTGTTCATGTGAAGAAAAAGTTACATTGTAGGAGGCTCATAACAAGAAAAGAACTGTTCTGTAATTCATCATTAAGTACGATTGACTTAACACATGTCCAAGCTAACCAGCTCAACTCCCAAGTGACTTCTGATCATGGTACCAGACTCTTAATCCATCCTATTCCACACAACCCTTTATTTTTGCTGTACTTCTCTGCCATCTTTGAACTTTTTACATAAACGAGGTTTAATCAAAGCAAAATAGCATGTGTACCTTTTGGAGCCAACTTTATGTTTAAGGGCCTCGAGGTCACAGAAAGGAATCGCAGATAATTCTATGAAAAGCAGAACAAAAATACATGTGAGAGCTAAGGAATCCCGGACAACAGCCAAATGTCATCGTTAAAGGACAGTTGATAGAATTGAAATAACCTACCCTACATGTTGGTTGATTTAAAAATAAACTAGGTTCTTAAAAGTTGACCTAGGCTGAAAAAACCTGATACATACATACTGAGGTATACTAACAGAAAGGCCACATTATAAATTGTGTGGAGAAAGAAGCTCTAACCAGTTCATCTGAGAAAAAATTGCTTGTCCAATTAGAACAGTGTTTTTCACTGCAATTCTCCAGTTTCCTATCAATTTCTCAATTTAAAGAGCTTTTGGCAAGCACTCTTGCTTTGGTCATTCAAGAATGGATGTAAGTAAACTGACCCAGGGCATCAATGAAAGTTGATGGGAAAAAGCAGTTACTGCTAATTAGACAGATGAAATGGCAACAAACAACTAACGATGGGTTGAAACTGTGGCAGCAACAAGGACAATCTTAATTATGATAAATAGATTCCAACAGCAACGTGGTCTCCCCCTCAATAAGCAAAACAACTGGTTTTGAAATTCAGACAAAAGACTCTACCTCCCCCCCACCCCCACCCCACCTGAGATGGCCTCAAGGATATGCCATTATCACAAAAAGGATAATTAGCACAATGATCATTTGCAGCTGAAAACTCCCTTTTTTCATACAAATTGTGTGAAAAAAATTGCAGTTTTGAAATCCAACATGGCCGCCTAGTCACGTGGTTGCAAACCAAGAAGTTGAAAACGCTCCGGGAAGCTTTTTCTATTTTCAGGGCATTTTTTACTTATCTGATGTAAATAATAGAAACTTAATCGTTGACATCAATTCAGCTTTAAAACACACTGACACCAAGAATTCTATAGAGACTGTTGTATGATTAATAATAAAAGTTGATCGAGCAATTAGAGTTGATCGTTTCCAAGTTTAAGTTTTCAAGATATTTTTATAAGTTGGATCTGAGAAGGTTGGGTTACTGACCTTCTTTAAGATGCGCCTGAAATCAAGACAAAAATATAGTACGATTAAACTCGCGGGTTTTACGTGACTTTACACACTTATAAGATCGGTTGGCAACGGGTACATTTTAATTGATACACACCATATACAACTTACAATATCGTCCTTGTCTTCGTCTGAACCTGTTTCGTCTTCAGAAGAGTTTTCCCTTGAGTTTAAGGCATCATTAGTATCCATATTTCCTCCGTATTTTCTCTAAAGTAATAATGCGAGAGCACAGATCTACCACGAAGCTAGAAGATATCATGTATTCCTTGATAAACTTCGGCAGCCATTTTAGTTATTAATAGGGCGGGAGGGACTGGTTCCAATTCTCGGCCCCAGCCTTCCTTGTCCAAAGACGACATTCTCCAGTTTTCAGCAAAGTTGAAAGGTTGTGATAAGTTTAGAAGTGTTTTTGAGAACATGGGAACTGGGTTTTCCAATNAGCTGAAAACTCCCTTTTTTCATACAAATTGTGTGAAAAAAATTGCAGTTTTGAAATCCAACATGGCCGCCTAGTCACGTGGTTGCAAACCAAGAAGTTGAAAACGCTCCGGGAAGCTTTTTCTATTTTCAGGGCATTTTTTACTTATCTGATGTAAATAATAGAAACTTAATCGTTGACATCAATTCAGCTTTAAAACACACTGACACCAAGAATTCTATAGAGACTGTTGTATGATTAATAATAAAAGTTGATCGAGCAATTAGAGTTGATCGTTTCCAAGTTTAAGTTTTCAAGATATTTTTATAAGTTGGATCTGAGAAGGTTGGGTTACTGACCTTCTTTAAGATGCGCCTGAAATCAAGACAAAAATATAGTACGATTAAACTCGCGGGTTTTACGTGACTTTACACACTTATAAGATCGGTTGGCAACGGGTACATTTTAATTGATACACACCATATACAACTTACAATATCGTCCTTGTCTTCGTCTGAACCTGTTTCGTCTTCAGAAGAGTTTTCCCTTGAGTTTAAGGCATCATTAGTATCCATATTTCCTCCGTATTTTCTCTAAAGTAATAATGCGAGAGCACAGATCTACCACGAAGCTAGAAGATATCATGTATTCCTTGATAAACTTCGGCAGCCATTTTAGTTATTAATAGGGCGGGAGGGACTGGTTCCAATTCTCGGCCCCAGCCTTCCTTGTCCAAAGACGACATTCTCCAGTTTTCAGCAAAGTTGAAAGGTTGTGATAAGTTTAGAAGTGTTTTTGAGAACATGGGAACTGGGTTTTCCAATTTAGAGATTCTGCAGGAGCCAGAATCCCGTGAAGATCAGATGAAATAGTGGAATTTGAAATACCTTCAAACTTTTTTTCGGTTAATATCAATTTGCATTTTTCATGATTGACGGTAAAGATTACCTTTTTCGACAGCTGACGGTTAAATTTCACACCGTTTGACGGCTACCGGTTCACTTCATTGAGACCCTCTGAAGAGGATCCTAGAGCATAATGATGCCACATTAATATCAAAGTGGTACAGTCAACCGCCCCGCTTTTCGGACACTTTATTATTACGGAAGGCATTGCTTTCTCCCGGGGGAAAGAAATCCCTTCTTTTACATTTTCTCTGATAAAAATTCAACCCGCTTAATACGGACACCCCGTTAATGGGGACCTTTTCTATGGACAACTGAGTGTCCGTATCAACGGATTTGATTGTACAAGCGAGAGAGAGAGAACGAGAGAGAGACGTGAAAAAAAAAAACAACAGGAAAAAAATCTCATTTACCCAACCCCCATAATGGACTAGTGTCGTCAATAATCCCCTGTGGTCGGAGGATCTCTAAGAAAATCTCTGCATTAATCAAGCTGCAATCACGACTTCCAATTAAGCGATTCTGATGTATTGCAGTGATTTCCAGAGCGCCTTCGTGCCAAAAGCCTGTCGGGAGTAATTAGAATTATTTTTGAAAAGTTTTTAAAGGCGAGCGCATGCGTAATAATATGCAACTGTGACGTTCTAAAACGAACTATAATTACGAAAAAATATTCTTCAAATGGCAGACGAAAAGACCAATGCGGTGGAATATCTTTCACAAAGATGAAGAAGGAATTATTTCTCATTTTTTTGAGTCAGTTAATTATTTCTGAGCTAACAGCAAGTTTGCCACTTTTACATCGGCGCAAACCGAAGAGGGAAGAAAAGGCTTTATCGAACAAAGTTGATGGTGAAATCATATTGGCACTATCAAGATTAAAAAGATCCTATGAGGTTCATGCTCACAGGAAGGAAGCTCGTTCACCTGGATCGTCACATCTGCGTTTAGCTTCAAGAGATCAAAGCAATAAAAACGCAATTTCAAGGAGTGCCTTTGACAGATGGTATGCTGCTAACCACAGGAATCCCAAGTTTATAGCCATTTCAGTTTTCGTTGGATGTTTGGTGTTCATGGCCTGGGCGTTTGCTATTACATGCTGCTGGTACCACCGCAGGCAGACCAAAAGAGTTAAAAAGGCCACTCATATCGATGTACAACCACGATCCGAGAATATTCCGGACAAGGTCAGCAGGATTAACAACGCTCATATTGACGTTGGAGAGAATTAAACCAAGCAGAGAGTTTGAAATCAGTAAAAGAGTAAATGAACTTAGAGTGTTAGTCTTCGTTTATCTATCCCTTCCCGCCTTCCTAGTAAAAAGCCTTAACTTACTGTGCATTGATCAGTTGGAATCCAGGTCATTTTTAACAAGTGTCACGTTGTTTTTACTCGTTTAAGAAAAATGTCAAAGTCTGATTGTGGCAGGGTGCGGACAGGTTCCTTTGGGGGGGGGGGGGGGGGGGGGGGGGGNATGATAACAATATCTACTTTATTAGAGTTTCAATCTCGCAAAAAGAGATGGAAATAAAATACTGAGTACTGACAGGCAATATAAATCTAACATCAAAACATCACACGCGCAGCAAGTGTAAGCGAACCTTACGACTGCGAGTTTCACACATGGGCTTAAAAAATATACTTAACTATTACAGATTTTGGTGTGTAGCGAAGAGAGAGATCATTAAACAAAATTAGGAGGACGAACGCGTCTTTTCATTTAGAAAATTAGTGTCTAGTGACCCTATATGCGGACACGGTTAAATATTTAACACAAAACGTGGTCCAGTACCTTGGGTAGGATTCGTGTGTGAGACGTTTAGCTCGTTCAGATGGTTGTCATTAGAGAGGCAGTGTAACCAGTATTTGTTGTTTATATCAACAGAAATTCCCTACGAGTCGCCTGGTCTTGCTTTAACTTATTTGCTCATGAAAACTGTCAATTAATTTGGCTAAGGACGACTAAATCGTGGCCCGACGTTTTCAAGAATGAGTGATAGTCAGTTTTTTTGGAATAACAGCTAAGTACAACTCATATCCATTGACCATCATTCCTTCACATTAAAGAATAAACCTACTGTTTTCTATCGTTGATAAAAAAGTATTCTGTGCATTAGAGTGGAGAGTACATTCTAGCCTAGTCCCTAGCCATAGTTTTCGGTTCGGTCTAACCTAAACTCTAGCTTGAGCTTTTACCCTTTCCTAGACCTCACGCGCACCGTGGACGGGGCAAGAGAGAACGCCCAGGAACTACGCTGAGTACATTCATAATTCTGTCGTAATAACACGATAAGGGGATCGGTAACTTGGGAGATTTTACGTCATATTGCCTTTTTAAGGGAACATAATGCTACTGATCTTTCTGTCCTAACTGACCTACAAAACATGGCGCGGCGCGTAAGGAGAGATTGGCTGTTGAACACAGTTTCACTCCACAATAATGATCTTCTGGAATTCCTTTTTTCCTATAGCCTTCATTTACGGTCAAGTCCAAAGTAATCACCTTCAGGCGTAGCTGCTATTTGTATTAAAACTCCTCATCGATGTTGTAACGATCGGATCGAAATACAATAATTTACCACTTCTTCGTTTGCGGAAATTTCTTCTCTCTTTAATGTGAGTTTCCATGTGTTCGTTGACGATTTCATGAATTCTCTTGTAAAATTCATCCACTTCATGTTGCAATTCCATTCTTATATCGGTAAGACGCTTTTTTGCACCTGTTGCAAAAAGAATACTCAGTCAACTAAAGCAAACATCGTTAGGCTGCTTTAGCAACAGAACGGGAACGTCATTTGACGACGGGAAAGCGTCCGAAAAGGACTAAACTCGACTTCCGGTTCCCAATTTCTCGCTCTGCTATTGGTCAAGCCAGTTGTTTGATTTGCGCGTGCCGTCGTCAAATGACGTTCCCGTTCTGTTGCTAAATCAGCCTGTTTTCACGTCAAGCACGAACCTCGCAAAATAGAACACGCAAAAGCAATTCCCCACCCTTTTTTATGGCACCGTCAGTACCCGTGGGGTCATTTGCCTTGCTTTCAAGATCGTTATAAACCGCGGATTGTCAAAAGGTTTCTTTGCAAGGGTGTAGCCACCGTGAGTCAGTACGCACGCCTGTACCTGAAAATATTGAAGATTGATAAAAAGGACAAACAAAGGAAATGAAAAAGGAAAAAAAGCAGAAGATAAATAAGCTATAGCTAGAATAAAAAAATCGCCCGTGTACCTCCGCATTAACTGCTTTCAGGTGCTTTTCAAACAAAATGCAACCCTTATTTTCTAATTTTGCATGACTGCTGTCTGCAGAACACAGTCCGGAGATTACTACCTTAGAAAACTCTTCCAAGTCACCCACGCGGAAAGTAATTTAGGAGACTGGGTACTAGGGTGGATTTGGAAGCTGTGCCGCTTACCGCTGGGAAATTGCAACTGAGCTACGTCCCTATAGATCGCAAAATGTTTCGCTCACTCAGACGTTAGTATTCGCCACTTTGGAAACAAGAAGAGAACTGAAGCGGAAATTCGTCCCGCAATTGTTTCTAGGATTTTGGCCAGTTTTTCCTCTCCAGTAACAGTCCTAGAAGTCTTTGCCTTTGTCTTTGTCTTAACTCGGTCCAGTTTCCTACTCTTTTTTCAAAAGTGGCGAATATGACAACAGCCTGGATCGAGACGGTTTATACACTGATATTAGTCATTAAGGCCTGACTCAATGAGATATGATCGTAAAACCTGATCTTTTCCGTTACATTTCCCAAACGATTTTGCCTAACGTTTTCCGAATGGTGGAAATCCTCAATACATTCGCCTTCTAATTTGATAACCCTCATCCACAGCAAAAACCGAACGTAATTTAAGATAATAATGTTTTTATTATTGGTGTTGTTAACCATGTTTTACTCACTTGCGGTACTTGAACGCTGTTTCTTTGTCCAGTATATTTGATAAACAAATCCACATAAACAGGCGATAAAGAAAAGAAGGCAAGAACCGAACAGAAAGTAGCGGAAATAAAGAGCAGAAGTGTCAATGAGTCCACCGCTAAGCTCTTGTGCAATAGACGCATCGTGAGTCTGAAATGAAAACACCAAAAAGTGAAGACTTACACGCTTACAGCCGGCCTTAGATCATGTATTGCTTGTGACAAACTTTAAGGCATTTTTTTATATGGCTTTAATGTCACAGTCGTTGCATTCGCTTGAACACAACCCGCCCCCGCTAAGAAACCAAAACAAACGTATTGTAAAGAAAGGGTGTGGAGTCCACCCTCCTCCGCTATAAAGGCTTTTTGAAAGATGACAAGAGAGACAGGAAACAAGCGAAGAATACAGCATCATGGAAAAGATTATCCACAGTCCTACCAACTTTTGAGCTAACCCTTTTTAACCAATATATATTCGCGTCTTAGTATTTTAGATCGACTTTTTTTATATTTGCAATATTTCCCTACTTATGACTTTGACAACTCAAAAAAGACAATAAAAGAACTAATCAGCCACTTCGTTATTACAAGGTGCTGCTATTACCTATACAAAATATGATATTAATAAACTGGGACTGGGCCGGGCCACAACCTCGTTCCCAGGGTCCTCTCCCACTTCAGCACTGACGCACACGTACCAACTCCGCGGTATATCTAGTAACTTACGCACGCACAAAGCCGTATCAACCGGGCAATGGCAGCCTTGGACAGTTGTTTCGTCCTTGTTAGGACTTAATAGCATGGCATAGCCCCAGACCATT